TAAGTGGAATGAAGCCCGAACACCCACCACCTGGCTGTGTTGGGTCCCTCTGGCCTCACTCTGAGGTCCTTCCAAAATCAGACTCTGCATAAGTCCATTGGGCCAGAACCAGAAAATCTGATTTGAACTTTTATCATATTTTGCCTCCAAGGACCTTTGAAAAAGCTATGTCCCTGTGTATTAATTCTCCTTAGAAGAGTCATGAAAATTGTTTTTTGGAAATGGCAGCCTCACATCCACTTTTATTATTTAAAGGTTAGGACGTGTTTTCCGGCCTCTCGCCTGCAGAACGCAGACAGCTTCATTTGGTGTAGTCCTAGCGAATCCCAACACACGGGAGTGCAAACGCCTAGTCTCGCTGGTTGCTGAGGGGCCATGCTTGGTGGTCCATCTGGGACGCAGGCCTTCCGTGTCTATTCTGTAATCACTTGCCCTCTCTTCTCTCCTCCTTTCACCTGAAAAGAGAGCTGGCACTGGGACTGGTGGCCTTTTAGTGAATGCTCCACAGTTATTCAGAGACAGATTAATAAGCTGTCTTGCGACCTTCCTCTGTCCTTTTCCACTGCCCTCTGGCCATTTCACTGTTCTTGTGCATCCAATTAAGAGGGTGGACAGAGGGAACGGAAGGATATGACCTCAATGTGCACAAGACTCTGCTTCTCATTAGAGGTCCTGGTAAAAGCTTTGATGGAAAAACAAGTTACTGTAGCACCACTGATCAGCCAGGAGGTTTGAGAAATTTCATTTGCCCACGATTTCCGTACCATCACCCATGCACAATAACATCCAAAATATACTGGAACCATTTTAACCAGCTGACCAGTAAGAAATGTGTTTCTCTGGCCGTGCTTACATGTTTTCAAACAAGTGTACTACTGCAAGAAACTGCTCATAAGATGTGATTTATAGACTCCTGTCCATCTTGGAATCCTTTCTTCCAACTTGGCTGCTTCCCTTCTCCTCATCCTCCTGTATCTCATGCACTTTATCCAGCATCTGTTCCCATAGCAACTTGGTCAAGCTGGCTCTGTTTTCACAAGGGTTTCTGGAATATGAAAACTGAGATTTTCATTCTTAAAGAAGAATGGTAGAGTTTCAGGTACTAAGACCTGAGAGAAAAGACAGGTACCCTCCATATGTTAGTCATGTTACCTGTTCTCTTTTGAGACCAACATTCAACATCCTTTGATGCTTCTTCGTATCTGTTCTGTTTATCAGGAGGCAAGTTTTTAAGGTCAAGTGTACCATTCAAGGGAAAAGTTCATGTCATTCATTCTAGAAAAAATGAATGAATTTCCCCAAGGTAGCTGGTACCACCTAGGTATGTCTAAATGTAATTTAAAAAACAAAAAAGGATCATAAAAATACAGAGTGCTACAGCAGTTTAGATATGGGAGAGTCCTTCTAGCTGAAGCAGTTTCTGGTATTACTCAGTTTGTTTAGTTCTCAGCAAGCTCCCCACCATCTACCACACGATCAGTTCTTTGTTAGCTCTACCCACCTACCAGTCACCTGTGGCCAAGAGCACTGGGTTCCTGCAGCTGAATGTGTAGAACAGATGTGCGACCTCAGCTCTGAAACGCAGCAAGGACTCTGAGCAGCCGTCAGTCTGCTCACCGAATCCGTAATTCCAACTGTTAACTATGACGTTCCTTGGCTAGGCGATGTAGCTTGCTTACCGCGATCCATATGCCAGGCAAGTCGCAAGGCCACCTGTGTTGCCGCCTTGGCGCACACCCCACTGGCATGTCTCACATTCTTACTGGCTGCCAAGACTACCTTCACATTCTACGTCTCGTCTCTACTATTCAGATCGAAGCAGAGGCTTCTTTGGCAAAAAAGGCAAACTATCATCAGTGACATCTGCATTTACCAAAAGGAGGAGAGCATTTTCATTGGCAATATGATAACAGCAAAGGTTTTCCCTCCGCTCCCTTTGAAAACTCTTCCTTCGTGGCTTGAGGGCTGTTGCTTTATGAGCTTTTCACTTTCGGACACAGAAAGGAGGGGGAGGAGTCAGGTAGAGGTGTGTCACAAGCTCAGGGTAGGCGAATCCTCTAACAGGAGACTGACTGTGTGCTTTGTGGTCATCTCTCTCATGTGATCCCAGGGTTGATGAAATCTCAAGGTCTGGAACAGTCTTCTTAGCCGATAATATTGGCATAGTGACGACATCAGATTTGTGTGTTTGAACACACGTTAACGATCACATTCGTGATGGATGATTATACTGCATAATGAGTGCTATATTATTTGCAACTGTGAGAGAGCGAGACCAGTGATTTGAGATTACACATAAGAAGCTGTGACAGATTACACCTGAAAGCCCCCTTGGTCTCCGCTGCATATGCTTCTTCCCCGGGGGAAGACACATTATTGCTGCAGTAGTGAAAACATACAAGGACCTGACAATCCTACAGAATGAGAATGAGCTAACGTGGCGCACGGTGGTCTTCCACAGTCTTTCTCCTTTTGCATCTCTGCCTGTCTTGGTGGCCATCTCTGCTGGAAGGACACCAGCCTGCAGAAAGGGTCCCCACAGAGGGGCTGGATGCAGAGGTGCTGGTAGTTCTAACTGAAGCTGGTGGTGGCACCTGAAGCTGGTCTAGCTCCAGGTGTTGTGTTGACTGAAGCCACCAGTCCTATGACACTTTCACTTCATTTAAATGCATGGTCAGCAGCCGACTACAAGTCACTGCCTGCTTTGGTAAATAATGTTCACTGGGACACGGCCATGCCTGCTCCTTTAGGTATTTCCTCTGTAATTGCTGAGTAGTTGCAAGAGATCCCACTTGGCCTTAACGATTTACTATCCGGTTCTTTAACAGAAGCAAAAGTCTGCTAACCCCTGATTTAAATCGCTCTCACTCCACAACGGAACTCCTTTTGGAGAGCGAAGCTGGGGAATAAAGAGGAAAGAAATGCCATTCACTGAGCTTGAATATGTTAGCTGAGTAAGGCTTAAAGATACAAGTAGGTTCCATGCATTCATGCTGTTCTAATTTGCTATTAATTGTGAATAGTTCAAAGCTACCACTTATTGAAAATGGACACTTTCTCGGTACCGTGTTAGAAACTTTCCATAAAGTGGGTTGAGTTTTGTATATTAAGGACATTTAAGCTTTCCTGGAGAAGGGGGTCTTAGGGAGAAACAAAAGCAAGCAAAAAAAACCACAAAACAAAACAAAAAACACCAGGCACACCAATGTTCACGTTTTTCTGACCCCGACATGGGAGGGGACGGCGTGCTCCTGTGTAACTGTGTGCTGCTCATTAGGGCCCCCAGCTTGCAATGCATTCTCCCTAGTGTGCAAGGTCAGGACTCGATGACTCAGGAGCCACCCCTGTCTTTCTCGTGTGTTTACTGTAAATGGAGAATAAGATGAACAAGACAAGAACGTGCACACACTCATGCAGGAAATTAATGACAGCGTCCACGGGCATGTAGATATCTTGTGGCAATTATTTTCTTGTAAATGGTGAATTAAAAATCATAAACTCTTACAGCCAGAATGGATTAGAGACTTAATATAGTTTGAATTCTGTGAACTGCATCTGCAGAAAAGGTAGTCTCGGGATGGTAAGTGATGTGTTCGGGCAGACTGGAATTAGCTGTAGAACCAGGCCTGCCTTCCAGGTCTTTCGAGTCCCTGCCCAATGCTCATTTTTCTTTTATTTTTCAGACCAGATTCTGTTCTCTGGGTTAGTTTTTCATTCTTGTCCTCCTGAGGATCAGAAAGTGAACCTGACATTGCCATGGTGTCCACAGGTTATAAACGAGACATCTCATCCTTTATCAGAGTTGCTGGGGAATAGTCAACCTAATTTCCCACCCCCTGTACAGTCATATGTTTCTTTATTCCTTCATTTTCAATACATGCCTTTTAAAGACTGTATCGACTCTTTCCAGGCCTGCCTGTCCCTGTAAATTCTGTCCTCTCGTGCGGTCACGCCTCCTGTCTTGATTTTCCTCTTTGAGTCTGACTGCTTTCTAGTCGGGCCCTTTGCTTTTGGGCCCTGGATCAGGCAGCGGCCCTCTATCCCTTCTTGGCAGACGTCTACCTCCCTTTCAGAGAAGAAAGAGGCAGGTAGGGTGCCTCTGAAAAGAATGAATGAAGAAAGGAAATGACAGAGTAAGCCAAACAGTAAGAAAAATAAGGCTTTGCCTCAAAGGGAAAAAAAAATAGAAATAAATAATACCAAAGGAAAGGGAAAGAAAATGATGCTGGCAAAACGTGCTCTCTTTTCTTTTCATCCTGGGCACGCGCAGTAGGTAAGGGAGCGAGGACCCATCACTCCCAGCACCGTCTCCCTCCCAGTCACCCCTCAAGCTGAGCCCGAACCTGCCGCCCCATCAGTGTTGCCCCGAGGAGCACCAGCCCTGTTTCCTCTCATCTGAAGTTATGCAGCCCACTGTGAATCTCTCATCTACTCTTAATCACAACGTGAGCCCGGCAACGACCAGTGCCGGTTTGAGCAGCAGACTCATTTGTGGTGCCTCGGTAAACGTTCGCTTGTTTCTTGATTTCTGCCTTCAGACCCGAGAGGTATCGTCCCCCAGCTTCCTTTATACTCAGGCCCCCACTTCTGCATCCTTTTTGAGGGTTAAATACTGCTGAGGGTTACCTGATGGGAGGGAGGAGGTGTGAGAAACGTGATTCTTTGTTTCTCCATCACTGGTTCAAAAATCTGCTGCAAATCCCTCAGGAGCACGGAGATAACACAGCCTAAACCACGATTAGCAAAGCTGGAGGCGGGACCAGGAGCAACGCAGGACTGTCCCATCAGTCCCCAAAGGCAGAGTGCGGCTGCAGGAAGTGCCACACACAGTGTTATGTTTTTGCTCTTTTCCCACTTACGCAGATTTCACATAAAATATGGCAAGAGGAATCCATGAAGATAGCAGGGCCCGGAAACCACCCACATACACCAGACCCATTTTATTTTTCAAGCTCTTTTAGTGAACCCCCCCCTCCCGAAGCTGCCCCCCACCCCATTACCTGTTGATGCTGTTCTTCTGTGCTAACATCTGCCAGTCCTTGCCTTTGGCATTGGGGGTATCAAACGTGGCACAAATCCGCTGTCTGATGGAGTAGGGAATTTTGAAGGCTTTGGGGCCAGTCTGTGCAGGGAAAGTGCTGTCCTCTTGTGCAAAGAAAGTGATGGTTTCTCTTTCATTCTATAAACAAAAGAAGGAAAACAAGATCAGATACAAGTGGAAGCATCACTGAGCAACACTTTTATTTTTTAAGAAAAGCTGTGTTAACACACATGCAAAAAATGCTGGCCTGTTGTGATGGACTCTGTAAAATATATTGACAAGTCCCCCTCTCTTCTAAAATAGTAAATAACTTCTCTAGTACCCTCGTAAATCGTGTCCTGGAGATCTACAACAGCCTCGTCTACTCAGGGGAGTCACAGTCTTCGGCTTCCTACATTCAAGGAGGTGTCAGGTGAGAGCAGAATTATTATTTTTTTTTCTAACTCTCAGTAGGAAGAAGCTGCTAAATGACAGATTTCAGTTCAGTGGAAGGAGACCTGATAGTCAGAGCTGATCAGAGATGAACGAGGATCAAAGGAGCTGGCTGGGAAGCCACTTGTCAGGAAAGCTACAAAGGGAAACTGATTGTATGTTGATTGTCTTCAAGTCTGTGTTTCTCTCAGTCCTAAAGTTTGATTCTATAGTAAATATTTTGGTCTTATTAAATTGCTTTGGTAAAATAGGAGCCAGTCATGAGTCAGTGATGAGATCTGGACTAGCAGGTGAAGTGGTACAGGCTACAGAACTTCTGCCTGCTGTCTGCCCGCTTTTCTGATTTAGAGCTGTCCTGTGAGGGCTCATTATTTCAGTACGTCACAGCAATTAGATCATCATCTCCAATGTGAAATCACACATCCATCCATCAGATGAGAGTAGTTGCCGAAAGTTGATACGGACTAACGGAATTTAAGACCTGAAAAGTACTTGAATCATTCCTGTGACTATGATTAGTTACAAGGCAAAGGGATCCTGCAGATGTGACTAAAGTTCCCAGTCAGCTGACTGTAAACTGACCAAGAGAGATTCTCCGGGGTGGGCCTGACCTAATCAAGTGGCCCTTACAAGAGAGAAGATGCAGCTCTTATGCGGAGGTCTCTCTCCTGCTGGCTTGGAAGAAAGCAAGCAAGTAGCCCATGCTGTGAATTGTCTATGGTGGGGGAGGGGGTCATGTGGTTAGGACCTGAGGGTGTCCCTAGGAGCTGAGAGTGACCCTGCCCAACAGCCAGCAAGAAAATGGGGACTTCAGTCCTACAGCCACAAGGAACTGAATCTGTCAACAACCCAAATAAACTTGGAAAAAAACCTCTGAGCTCCAGATGAGAATGTGTCCCCATCACCACCTTGATCTCAGCCTTGTGAGATCTTGCTCAGAGAACCCAGTTATGCCATGGCTAGACTTCTGACCTACAAAAAATGTGGGACAATAAATGGTTTTTTTTTTTAACTGATAGATTTCTGGTAATTTGTTACACAACAAAGGAAAACTCATACAAAGGGAAATTAGAACACAATCTGAGATCAGGTTAAGGGACTAGTTAGGACTGTTTAAACCCCAAGAAACCATCCTAAACACGGGGGCAATTTGTGCTGTCCTTTAAGTCAACACGTGTCCTTCCTGAACTGCCCTGTGACCTTCCCCGACGCTTTCTCTGACTTTACCCATCTTCCTACTGTGAACACCGCAGCCATGGCAGCCCTTGCTGACGCGTGCCCAGGCTCACACAGCTTTAAGCCTTCAGACTTGGTGAGTCTTACATCTTCAAAACTATGTTAACCGAGGAAACTAGTTCGTGCAAAGATCTTATTAACGAATGACAATGTGCTTTGGCTTTCTGTAACCATTTAACATAGCTACATCGCAGGGAAGCTGTGTTTTGGAAACATAATGCCTTAAGCTGTGTTTTTGAAACATAAGGCCTTAACCCAGCATTTTCGAAGGGCATCTCAGAAGATGTTCCAAGAAAGAGCAGACCCGTTGTCAAATACACTTGAGAAACGCTGCAGATTATATCATCTTCTTGGAAAGTAAAAACACATGTTATCATGTTAAACAGATTCTGCTTACTGGTTTTGGTTTTATTCCCTGGACTACTTAGAACAATGTTCATCAAAATTCTAGTTTTTGAGGTTAGCATGGAGTAATAGAAAAAGTGTGGTTTTCAGAGTCAGAAAGAGCTTATTTTGGAGTATAAGTTTACAGTTTCTAGCTCAATGACCTTGGATGCTACATGACTTCCCTCAGCCTCAATTTCCTAATTAGTCTTTTGGCATTTTTTTATAGACATGCAGAGGTTATAAAATCTGGTAAAAGTCACCCAGGTAGTTTGAAACTAGAATTCTGATCTCCTAGTACCTACACTGGGACTCACTTTCACAATGCCACTCTGTGTAAAAACAAGTACCAAAAAATCTGCAGAGCAGGGTGTTTAAGAAAAATGTTCTGAGTGATATTAGCTCAGTTATGCTTCAAGAATTACGGGTAGGAGGGCTTCCTGGAGGAGGCATTTGAGCTGACCTTGAAGGATGGGTAGCTACTGATTGAGAAGTTGACTGGATAAGTGGTGGTTTCTGGCAGAGTAGACAATGATCTTCTCTGATATATAGGGTATTTATAAAATAAATCAACTCAGGCTTCTTAACTGCATAAAATAGGTGACAAGATACATCATTTTTTATCATGGTATGTAAAATTTTCTTCTAGCCTTTAAAAATGAAGTAGGAATAGTTTCTTTAAATATTTCCTGACTTAAGGCAGGATAATGTCCCTAAGATGAATAGTAAAAACCAGAGAGAGTGAATAAAAGAAATTCTCTACAAGATCACATGGTAGTTGTCATTGTAAAATGGCACTGAAGGGCGTTAACATGGAGAAAGGTGGCTTGCCAGTGAACTGCAGTCTTTTGGGATGCCCCTATCCATCCCAAAGATTGCCATCGACAGAGACAGATGTCCTCATGGCAACTGTGATTTCGCCAAGTTGACCAAGCTCTGTCTTTGCTGCCAGCAGAAGAGAGACCACCTTGATACATAAAGTCTTTGGAGAAAAGATGGACGGAGTGGTACAGTTTGAAGGTGAATAAGATATTATGTGGTACTGCCTTCTGAAACCAAGTACTTTTTCTATTTACTACACTTTAATAAGTGGGCCTTCATAAAGGTTCCAAATTTAAATACTTCCCATATATAAGGATGACACTTTATGTAACATTTATGATGCATTCTAAAAGACATCTGGGCCAAGTAATAAGAATCTGGTAGATACACCACATTTTCTGATTGTTTAAATTAAATATGCAGAGGAACAGTGGATTTTCATGCTCTGCACATCTGAGATAAGCGGCTGCTACCTGGTGAACGTAGCAGCTGTAAATCAGTGAGGAATTCCAAGTATTCTGTCTACTTTGTAACAGACAAATCATCCCCCAATGTCCACCACTTTTGGAAGAAAGATAAGAGAATCGCTTGAAGGGAAAATTGCAACATGCAGGATTCCCATTTAAGACGTTTCTACCAGGAAACAGATTCTTTAATATTATTCCATTAATAAGGAATGAGGAAATAAATGACTTGGGGATTCTTCCCTTGTGTGCAACACTGGCAAAATTATTTTGCTTCCGTCTGCAATTTTTAGACCGGCGACAGGTACTGCTGCTTTATAGAGTACCAGCTGGCGAGAATCGTTAGGTAACTGAGTTGGGTTAAATGTAAGGAGAACCAAGCTGCTTGTAAAGACTCACACAATAATGGCCACTCTGAAGACCACTCAGAAAAGATATGTTACTTTGATCACTGAAATAATTTTTAAATTTGAGAATGATATGAATGAGTATATTTATTTGGAAGACCATTTAGATAAGAGGCATGAAGGAATATGACGGATGTGAGGATGAACATAAAGAAGTGAATGCCTTCAATGGGGATGCTCATTGCATTACTTTAGATATTTAAAATCAATATTTTATACACACACACACACACACACACACACACATCTTTTACCTCTCTTGGTTCCATTGCTAAAAATCCTGAAACATAATGACACTAAGACAATCCATTAAAGTAAGGCAGGAAGGGGGAGCTCTGAGCCCAGATACACCAGGATTTTTTTGGGGGGAGGAAGATATTAAAAATATATTTCAAAGACATCTATTGAAAGCATTAAAAGTTTTAGTTCCTTATTATTATTAATCAATGATACCCTATTACTAACTTATTAAAAACCACCTAGTACAGAATCCTTCAGCCTGGTGGCTATGAAGTTTGATGAACCTTACTAACCGATATTCCTGACTCACTGATTGATAAAGACCCATGTCTTGAATATATCCTGCCTCCTCCCCGTCAGGTATTCCCAGTTTCTCAGCACTTTGTGTCTCTGGTTAGGACTGATACATGAAACCTCTTTGATTGGGATCCTGAGGTGGGTAATGAACAGAAATCCAGACTTTGATTGTCAAGTCAGGTATCTCACCCGGGGACTCTGGCCACCCATCTTATCAGCTCCATGATCTTGGACAAGGAGGTCGACCTCCTTGTGACTGTGACACCACGTAAAACTGTGATGGTATGACACTAACCCAGAGAGCTGTGATGGTTATATGTGAAAGCACATGGAATGGTACCTGAAATGGAGTGGCTTTCAAAAGTTATCCATTTCCTTCTGACATAGAAAATGGTAGCCAATTAGATTTGCCTAAGAATTACATTTCATTATAAAGAAATGGGGGTGCACGGGGCCAAATTCCAGCGGTAACAATGAATAAAATGACCCTTGCAGGATCAAACAAGTTACTAAAGCTTCTGAACTGCATAGCCTACAGAGTGCGTAACTGTGGTCCAACAATGAAGATCTAAATCTTGTTTACATATTATTCTGATGCTTGTGCCTCCTTGTATCAAGAGATACGGTGATGTCGTGTTCCTTGAGGCTTTCCAAAGTGACTGGAAACCTCGGGAAGCCTTAGGAGAGGAACTGGAGGAGAAAGGATAAGGTTGTGCTGATTAGTTCAGTTTCCTGCCCTTCAAGAGTTCATTTAAGCAAAGAGCAGAGATGTACCAACCCTATCATCGTCCCTTTACACAAAACCCTGTAACAGCTGAAGGGGATCTTCAGTATCTCCGTGTCTTCAAAGTCAAAATCCTGTTAAACCTGGGATTCTCTTGTTGACCAATTAATAAATATTTAGAGCAGTTTTCATCAGCGGACTCTTTACATCCCACCTTTTCGCTCTTATTTTTCTGAAGAACGGCTCTACTTGGATTTTCCGTTTTTCTTTTACAACTCTCATACAGTTTGTATTTTACTTAGAAACGTTAAAGACACCATGACTCTTCAAGAAAGAGACTCTAAAAATATCTTACCCGAGGTTTCTGGAGCTACCCTCCCCATCAAAACTACTTTAGCGCGCAATGCTAATTGGCAATAATGAATGCAAATACTGGAGAAACATGTCAGTTAAGACGGCTATCAGTTCTGAGGCACACTTCTTTGGAAAGCCATCTGCACTTGAGAAAAACTATCTGGGGGATTAGCAACACTCATCTTGCATAAACAATGAATTGCAAGGAGAGTGGAGGGAAGGGATGATGCTACAAAGCTACCAGTTACGAAAACGAAAACAAAAACAAAAACAAAGCCTGAATTGAGCTGTAAAGAGAGTGTGTTAAACCTTCTGCCAAGCCTGAATGAATAAGTACATATTATTTATATTTATATATGGATATGTGTATGTACGTGTGTGTGTATATATGGTCTACAGGTGAACAATACGTGTGCTTTTCTAAACTAGCCAGGGATTCCCTTGGAATTGCTAAACAAAGCATCGCACGCCTCCCCGACTCTCCCGCTTCACTACTCTCTCCCGCTGCCCTCACAGAAGCATTCAGGAGGGAACGCCACTGTCCACTCTCTAAGCTCAAGTCCAGAGCCATGAAGTCATTCGGTGGTTTAGGGCCGATCAAAGCCACGGCACAGATCAGGTGGTTTTCTGCAGAAGTTCCCAAGTGAATTCTCCTCTGACGCCCGTTCTAACTCTGCCTTTCAACAGTGATAGACCTTGGATGAGGCCCTTTCCCTTTCTGCACTGCCATTTCCCTCCTTGGTAGAACGAGGTGATTTGCTACACTGTCTTATTATTGTGTTGATGAATCTAGGTCTAATGGAAATGGGGATGAGCAGAGCCCTGACCCTGGAGGGTATGAGAAATCGTAAGACAATAAGGAACCCAGGCCCTGAAGATAAAATAACACAGATGGGGACAACTGACTTCTGGAAAACTAGTCAGAACCGGCAGAAAATTAGCCCAGTGGGGACCTCGTGCCTTGTGGTACGTGTCTCAGGTGTACCGTCAGCCAATCACGGATCTCAGCTGATACTCTAAGTCTACAGTGAACTATTAGATCGATTGTGGTTTTGTGTATCAAAAGTCCTGGACCAGTTCTTCCCCCAAAGGTCCCTCCACAGAGCCTAGTGGGAAGCTCCTTCCTGCCCAATGGGAAGCTCAGTTCAATCCTCAGCCTGAGAAAAAGTTCATCAGTGATGAGGGTTAAGAGAGTCAGCATGACGGAGCTTTGAGGTGCACTATTCGCACAGCACGATCAAGACAGGTATACAGTCCTTAACGTCCGTTAGAGATGGGGTCAGATGGCCTGCAGACCAAGGACTCACCTCTAAGATGGATGTCTGCACTTGGAGGATCTGCTCGTGGCCTTTGAGCTGCCGGATGCAGATTTTGCAGGACAGCTGGGTGGTGGTGGGCGTGTAGCGCTCCAGGGAGAAGGCACAGTGCAGGGGCTGCCGGTTACTGCTCCACACGCGGGAGAATGGGACTTCCTGCGGGGGAGAGAAGCGGGGTATGGTGTGCAGAGCCCGGCCGAGATGAGCAGAGAACAGGAGAGACTTAATAGCAATAATTATGATGACGATGCTGGCGATGGCAGCAGAGATAATTGCCTGAGCGACTCTGGCGAAAGTGTTGTAGAAGTAATGTTCTAGCATACGCCAGGCAGCACAGAAGTAATTAATGTCAATTCCAATGGATACCATTTGAATTCCAAAACCACACTGCTGGAGCCGAGATTTCACTTGGTGACACACACAGTTAGAAAGAATACCGTCAAAATGTAATTGTCATGTTTTGCCACTACAAAAATATTCCTTAGAAAACTCCTATGGGTGGCTTCCCAGGGTAGACTCCTACTCTATCTTTTGCCCTAAGCCTGGGGTGGGATGGTATCTTCTCACTTAAAGGGCAAATATGGGAAAAACTGATGAGCCAGAACTTATCTCCACATCACAAATTCATGCAGAACTGTATAAATATAATATTGTTAGCATATCCAGCATAAAAATTACACCTGCTGCAAAAGCACTCTCTCACACACACACACACACACACAAATCCCAGAGACAGACATAAACACACCAGGCCACCCTGGAATGGTCTAGTTTGCCGAATCCTCGCTCATCCATCATCCATTCGACAATTGTGTTTACAGTGCCTACTAATAACCAGGTGCTGTACTGGATGGACAATAGAAGAACAAGAAGAAAATTAGGTCTGGTCCCCACTTGCAAGGGACTTACAGACAATCCAAAGGCAGAAGCAATTTTCACTAAATGAGGAGGGAAATGATAAAATGTCTATCACATTGCCGTTTTCCCTACGACCAGCCAGTGCTTGTCACCAACTGGGCTATTCTCGGGCACGCGGCTTTCCCACTAACGTGAAGGAGAGGCCACTCACTGCTGTTCTTCCAGCTGCTAAGAATTCTCTCCTTCCTACTCAAATCAGGCTGGGCTCCTTGGCAATGCCCATGTTTCCCCAGCCCACGTAATCTTCTTCCTCACTTCTTTCTCTTCCTCGTCTTGTTAATTTGCTCTTCTACCTGTTCCTACAGGTATCATTTTCTCCCCTGCTGATGCTGAAAGGTGGCAAAATTTAAATGTATCGGGTCTGGAAGTCTGATTCTCTGACTTGTGACTGGTGATGGAGTTGGTGTATGTTAGAAGACCAAGGGCCATGATTAGGTTCCATCTTCCCACTTGGAGGAACTAGTTCCCTGAGCTCTAATGTGCACACGTGTTGGTGTCCTCATTGTCTCTACAGGAAGTCTCACAGATCCTGGTGTTTGATACTTGGAGGGATGGACCTTAGACTGTTGCAGACCTGAGGAGTGGAGAGCCTGCTTTAGGGAGTATGAGGAAACGAAATCGTGCAGCAGGCCCATCCACCTGCCCCAGCAATGGCTGTAAGGGCACAGTGTTTTTGCTTTGGTTTCTCTATTCTCCCCCCACCCCAGTTTTATTATGTAGAATTATTACAGTTTGACTGCACATGACGCATTATATTGCATGTAAACACATATAACCAGTATACTGCACACTTTTTAGTTTTCATATATCTACTAATTATTGTTTCTAAGAACGGATTAGAGCTTTAGCTTTTTAAACTTACATAGTTATCAAGGGAATAAAGCCAACTACAAAATAAGAATCAACAGAATGCAGTAATCTGACAGTCAGATGTGCTTGTTTTCTCCGTTCTTAATCCTGAACCAAGGGAAAGACAGGAGACCTCTGTCTCAAGAAGAAGCGCCAAGAAGTCAGAGACAGTCTGCATGCTGGCCCCGTGCGGTCTTTCACAGACTTTATTCCCGCGCAGAACGTGGGCCGTTAGTAGGCGACTCCACCTCCGCTGTTCTCAGGTCGCCCTGCATGGCAGGGGCTGGAAGCCTGAGAGCTGCCTTGCACAGGCTCTTGCCAGCAGGGCGTTCAGATCTCCATTCCGCCAGTGAGAGGTATTCCTCCTTTAAACTTGGAAGGGAGGGGAGATGCAGAAGCTATTTCTGCTCCTCTGGTACCAGCAAGCAAACCCCAAAGGCTCAGCACATGGGAGCTTCTCAGGGGCCTCTGAGAGTCAGCTGTTTCAGTGCTTTTGTGTTTTCCTGAAATTCCCAGACTTGCTGGTTTCTTCGTATCATTAGTGACTTTTCTGACCTTGGATCTTCCAGGCTTTCCAGAGGTTTCAGAAGCACTGAAATCCCTTGATTAAATTTCCTCTTGCTTGACATATCTTGAGTGCTTGCTGTTTTCTTGATCCAAACCACTCTAATGAAACTCCATGGCTTTTCACCTGCACCAAATTCTATACCAATTAAAACAATGACAACACGTGTTTGTAAGTTCTGCCATTTTTCCTCGTCGAATCCGACTCTCTTCCTGCTGCTCCAGCTTTAGTAAACCATGGGTGACTCTGACTTCCTGTCTCAGCCTCCAGCACTTCTCGCTCTGCCTGCTGACCTCTTCAAGCCCCCGTCTGCTCTCACAGGCCCAGCTGCCACTTCTTGGTGGAGAACTCCAACAGCTTCATCTCTGGTATGTCTCTTTCCTTATCACCAGTCACTGGTATCACACCGCTCATCAGTAAGTAATTTCAGTTGGCCTTTATTTCCACAGACAAGTCTACTCTTTGAAAACGGACTACCACCATCTCTCTCTCATTGTCATCCTTCTCCAATTTTTCTGCCTCCATTCGGGATCCTCCTCTCTGACCTCATCACAGCTCACTGCAGTAACCTGCTCACCAATTCCTGCCTTCTGTCTCTTCTACAGGGAGCAAATGAGGGGGCTGAGGCTGGACTGGAGAGGGGACTAGAGAGCAGTTGATTATATTCTTCAGGGACTAGCTTATGTCTCTTTTACCTCTGATCAGGAGTGGGGGGCACTGATGTGACCAGACCACCCGGGACCTCTGCTTTCATTCATGATTCCTTTGCCTGGGGGACCAGAATGGCCCCCTGATGTCTGCGTGCCTGCCACGTTATACACAGTCCCTTGTCGGGACTTTAAAGGCTTCCATCATCTACTGCCCCATCCTTACTCCCATTTTAGTAGCCCTCAAATTCAGTCTCTTCTCCAAGCCAGTAAATTTTTCTAGTTACTTTGCACCATCCTCATCAATAAAAGTAACTAAAACATAAGGCTCGGTGGTTATAGATGTTTTTGCCTAAATAAGGTGCTTTTTGCCTAACTAAGCAAACTAAGGAGATTTTTGTCTTCTAAGACTGAAATTTGAGTCATTACAGTCTAATATAAATATTTGGACTTTCAAAAGTCTAGATAGGGCTGAGTTCAAGGTACAGCTCTTAAACCTACATTTCCTATAGTGGATTTGAATCCATGGTAATACTTAACCTTCCAAAAAAAAAAATGGCACTGACCATTTATTGAAAAGTATCTTCTCTAGTACCACTTGCTAAATTTTGTGTATTTTCTCCGGAAAACACTGGAAGAAAGGTTAAAGAGAGTAAGACCCACTACAGAGATAATCTTTTCTTGCAGAAAGACATGAGAATCGACAAACAAAAGAATTCCTCTCTTTTCTCTCCATTTCACTGCACACAATCAAAACATTTAAAAAATCTGATTTTAAGACAATGTCAAAAGAATATTTTTTTTATTGTTGACTTGAGTAGCAGCTGCCAACAGTGCTCAACAAAACATTTAAAAATAATAGAATTAGAAGCACTGTGATTAGTGTGTTTTCAGGGCAATCATCTTTGCTTTCATTTATTCAAAAAAAAAAAGAACAAAACAAAACACGAAGATGCTCACTGAGCTGAGAGAAATTATGTGGCAAGCAACACAGGAGGACAAAGTGTAGCAAAGTTATGGGTGTTTAAAGAATTCCGGAAATGTTTTCATTTTGAGTCCCATTATAATTAGTTTCCTAGCAGATGGAGAGAATGTAAATCAAACCCTAGCAGGAGACAGACACTGGGTCCTCCAAGATGCACAGCATGCTGTAAAGCCAGCTGCTTTTGTACTAGCGAGGTGACAGCATGACTGTGTTTTGTAGGATTAAAAAAAATTAATATTTTATTGTATACTGTTTATTACAGCGTCTCCATCCCGCAGTCAGCACGGATTAAAGGAAACGGTGATTAAGTAGCTCTCAGATCCCAGTAACCTACTGAGAGCAGTTATTCCCTCTAGAGGAAGGTTGCTGAGTCTTTGGAGAGGACAATCGTTTATCCCTAGTTGTGGTAGAGTCTTAAGGAAAGGGGGAATAATTGTTTACTTCGGGAGGACTAGCATTGTGGGCCTTATGTCTTCTATGAATCGAGGTTCGTGGGTTCTGCTGGAACGAAATCTCGTAAGAACTCATACCCTCACCCAACCTCCCCCTCTCCTCTCCCCTGTCATTCCTGGTTTCGTCGCAGTAAGGGGTGTAGCCTAGCACTTCATAAACTGCAGTCCTCCAGAATCGAAACCAACAAGACCTAAAATCTAGTTGGGCTTCCGTACACTGGCTCTCATCACATAGGTCTGGACCCAACCTTGAACTCACATCGTTCTAGAAACATTTCCCGCTTGGCGGGTGTCTGATAGGGCAGGTATGCTGGGCAGAGGGTACCTCCCCAGCCTTTACCTTCCTGGGAAATTCCACATTTCCCAGAAGAAAAGAGCGAGGTTTCTTAGGGGAATAAGCTTTGGGTACCAATGGGAATATGTCGATTCTCAGATTCCAGATTAGAAGTTAGAGAAAGGAGTAAGAAGACAGGATACTGGAGTCTTGCACCCGCTGACTTGGAAGGTGACAGAAGGTGACAGGGACACTGACCAGCTAAAGGAGAGACCTGTAAGTGATGTCAGGAGTAGTGAGATTTTCTGTCTCCACAGTACTGCTCTGTTTGTTCCTACCCACTAAGCCCTAAGGAAAAGCCATTCTCCATTATCCACACTGAGTTTGTCAGAGCACATGATGGTCTCCACGAGGTTCAAGCAGGCTGAACACAAATCCTCCCCAAAGTGCGTGCATCTGACGCCTGGAGCAAACACAGCATGGCCATTAAGACATGCACAGTATGTCATCACACAAGCTGGGGGATTTCAGTGATCACAGGGGCAAAGAAATTGGTGATGCGGGTGGTGAAGAGAAAGGAAGAATCGGGCAGAAAGCCATTTGTGGGGAAGAAAAATGAAGTGGAAATGAAAACTCAATGGCAGGCCTCTTGGTGCCGTGAAAATTAAATTGTTCCCCAGCCTTCCAAGACTCTTTCAAATTATGCTCAATTACAGAAGGCAAATATTTATACATGTTCACAACCGCCATGCAATCCAACCCACCCCGGCAGTAAAGCTTGCTGGGTTTCGTTGCAAGCCAATGCCCTTGGGCTCTGGCCGGACCTGCTGCGTCCTCTGGGGTGGGCAGGGATTAGCGCCCCCGAGTCTTTTCTACCTGGGGCTTTCTTTGGAATCCCTGGTGTTGGAATTGTTTAAATGCTACTGAGAGGTTATGGTTCTTTCATTTGCTGTTTTTTTTTTTTTTTTAGTCTCCAAACATCAAATTCAGTAGTTACTTCAGACTGAGTCACTTGCATTAGATTCAGTAAAGTGATGCCCTTAAATCTAAAAAGATTAATACAGAGAAATCCACATGACTTGTCAGGATTTGTTTTAACAATACCCTGAAGTTCAATCTGGACTAGAAACTTCTGCTTTCTGGGAAACAGAGACACCAGGGTCTAGAACATCATAAATAATGCGTTTATTCATAGAAAACATTTTGTCATAAGGAAATACGCTAAATGTGCAAAAAAAAATGTTCAGGGTCTTCAGTGATATTCTTATTGCTTTGAATACACTCAAACGATACCTAGAGGGGGAAATTCTCAAGGTAATGAGAAGTCTGAAAAGTAAATAGATAACTATGACCTTATCTGATTTGAAAAGTCTGAATTTTAGAAGCAGAATGCATTGGTGCTACAATTTTTTCCTAACTCTCATAGCATGGCCAAGGGTTTTCTTTTTGAGATTTGGCTAATTTCCATTCCGACAAGCCAGTATATCTTGTGCATAGTGTTTTCAAAATGAATGCTGTAAAGATGGAAAGGTGACAAAACCCACAGAGCTCTGCAGATTAAGCTGATGGGCAGAAGTGAGGAGTCTGAAAGCCTCCTCTGAGTTCAGATCAACAGGAGTCTACCCGAAGCTCACTCAGAGTTAAGGCAACGTCCTGTCACTTGAAGCACAGATGAACCTGACTTAAGAAGCGATGGTAGACCTGTTGGCTGCTTCTGACGACAGTGCTTATCACTGGAAATTGTCACAGAATTCAGTGACAGGGTCACAAGTTGATATCGTTCCATGCTAAGCAAGTATTCAAAAATCCTTTAAAAATGATGCAAGGAGACTCTTAAGTCATCCTGCAATGTTTGTTTTTTTTTAAGTCTCTAATAATGAGGTATGTGAGTAGTTTGTGTATGTGTGTATGTATGTGTATATATATATATTTATAAAAGAATTCTAAAAGGCACTGATAATTGTTTGCTTCTCAATTTGTGTTTTCTTCTTCCCATCTTGCTCAATTCCTTGGGCAACAAGCACTTCATACATTCAGGACAAAATCTCTTGTTCCTACCTGCCTGGCCTTAGCTCCCTACCACTCCAAATGATCACCCTTAAAGGATTTCTCACTAACATCCAGTTCTTCCACAGCTGAACATGATTAAAACAGTGTCTCATAGTGAACTGATTTTAATCAAAACAAAGCAACAGACAAATCTTGCTCTAAGTTGTTAAATTACCATTTTCAACCCATCCCAAGTGACGACTTAAAACAGGAGAGGAGAAATGTCACATTACCTGACACGAAAGCACCTTTTTTCCCACCTGTTAGAAACCCACAGATTTATGACAATACATTTCATTCCCTGGGTGTAGTCCAACCTGCTACATCACTGTGACAGTTTTTTAAATAAATCCACAGTTTTAAAGGAGAAAGAAAGCCAGGAGTACCCGCACTAGGGTCTGTGAAACGCTCGCTGGTGAAAGCAAAGCTATTTCTGTCAGAAACCCATTTGGCCAGTACCTGGCATGCAGTGAATGGTTTGATTCTCCAGAGGAACGGGGGGATATCGAGGACAGAGATCTGAAGACTGAAGGTGTTCCCTTTGAAATGCAGCAACTTGGGTTCTTCCAGTAGCTGCCCACCGTGATGCTTTTCATCTGAAACCACTTCCTACAGGACAAGGAAAAGAAAAGAGGCAGAACAGTCAAGTACCCAATTTCCTCCATAGTTTTCCTTCCAAAGATGGTGGGAGACACGCACTCCCACGTGTCTCCCAGAAATAGACAGCATCGTGCACACACTCTGCTTTTACACCCCCATATCCTTGCAAGGTCGGGACTAAGGGCTGCAGGCTGCTGAGTAATGAGGATCTGGTCACAAAGAAGCCACTGTTCTTCATTTTACTGTACTGTTGAGCCTTTTTACACACACTATGCCTGTCTTTAAAACGAGAAGAACTCCCTGGCCCCAAGTAAACGGTAATACTGTTGATTTTCCATAATTACATGAATTTCATCCTGATATGACCATAATCAAGTATTTGGACTTAACCTGACACATCATATTTCACACAAAGGGAGACACAGCCTCCCTCCACTCTGGTTCCGTTGCTTGTGACAGGCATCATCTAATATTTATTCTTTAGCTCAAAATAACCATTACAGAGCATATGTATCATGTATATTTGTAGTAATGTTCATGAAAATTATGCCCAATGGCTGAGAAAAAAGTAAGCTGTCAAGTCAGTTTTAGCTTAGGGAAAAAAGATCAAATTCCTGAGATAAATACTCCTTTATCTTTCACTGAGAAATCTTTATGTCTCATACAACCATGATTCATACCCATTCTATTAAGTAAACCATTTAATTGGTTAAATGTTAAAAACTACTGTGGGAGGTGAGGCTTTCAGTGTTTGGAGATAAGAGATTTCCCTAAATCCATTTTAAAAATCACCATTAATTAACTTACAATTTCCTTGCAGAGCTAGGATAAGCAGAAAAACACAAATCCTTTAATTATGTCCTATAGTCTTTCCAGAGTCTAAAAAAGGTTGTAGGAAGTCAGGCAAATAGGTTTATAAATACAATAAAACTTACATCTCAATTATCAGAGAGTGGAAGCAGCTTCAGAAATTATCTTTCCCATCTGTCTATGTAGAGATTAACATTAATAAAAATGTTTTTGTCTAAGAACCAGCTTTCCACCTTTTATCCTTCATGTAAAGGTTGCTCGTGTCTTTCCTCCGGATTGCATGAGTCAGCTCCAATGTCATTTTCTCCAGCTCTTCAGATGTGGGAGGGGTGTGTCTTTGGGCCCGAGGTCAACACTGAACTTCCCCCAATGATGGAAATGTCCATATCCATGCTGTCCAGTGTGGTATCCACTAATCATGGTGGCTAGAGCGAGTAAGGGTCTGTTTTTCATTTTAATGGATTTGAATGTAAATATGCACACATGGTTGTCAATTACTGTACTGGACAGTGCAGTGCTAGAGAATTCATTGCACTGTGGTTCTAAGCATTGGGAATAATAACGTGGTGGCCAGTGTTTGATGAGGGCTGCAAACAGTGGAAGGAAAGAGGGTGGGATGGAAGGGAATTCATGCCGGATGCTGACTTCAGGTCTTTACGGATGCTGGTCTTTGTTCCTTCTTTTAAGATTTAATGAGTATCCAGTGGAGGGGAGGGTATAGCTCAGGTAGAGTGTGTGCCTAGCATGTACCAGGTCTTGGGTTCAATCCCTAGTACCTTCATTAAAAAAAAAAATCTATTTACCTCTCAACCAAAAAAAAAAACAAAAAAAACAAAATACCCCTGAAGATTTAATGAGTGTCCAGCAGAGGGATGCTTGAGCTGGGCGTTGGGTGCACAGAAGTGAAACACCAAGGAGCTCACGGTCTAGCGAGAGGATCAGAACAGCAGGTGTACGATTATAACACAGTGTCTAAGTACTACAGATGTGTGTAGCCTGGAGGTTAAGGCAAGACAGGGTGCCTAACCCAGATGGGCAGAGAGGCCAGGGGGGGAATTGGGAAAGCAACAGAGGAAGTGATATTTGAACTGAACCTTGAGGTAAACATAGAGGCTCGCCGTGCCAAGAGGAGGGAGAGTGCGTTCCAGATGCCAAACTGGCTCTCCCCAAAGGCACGGAGGCCAGACAAAGCTGGGATAGGAGGTTAGGGTGGAAAGTGTATGGCTGGAGATGACAAAAGTTACAGGGCAGGAGCCAAATCATGAGTTCTCACTTCTTGTGCCATGTAAGGACTTGTATTTTATTTTAGAGTAATGTCACTCAGGTTTGAAGGTGCGTGAGAATCTTCTGGGGACTACACATACTCAAGGGAGCGCTTATCTTGTAAACCAAAAATGGACGCACAGGCTTCTAATCACATTTCTCTGCAGTCGTGGGCAAGTCATTCGACCTCTTTGGGCTTCAGTGCTTTACTCGGGTTTATTCATCGCCAAGCAAAATCATTAGCATGGGAATATACCAGCCTCTTTCTGCCGTTCTAGTGCAGGGTTAGACATAGGTACAAATAAGAAATTTGCTTATTAAAACCGTATGAAAGCCATGGAATAACAACAGTGTTGGCTTGTCAGAGGATATTTGACTAGGCTCTGTGAAGCCTACCCCTGTTCTTTATTCTTTTAATTAAAGGATATTTGATTTACAACGTTGTGTTAGTTTATGGTGTACAGCATAATGATTCAGTTATACATATATATTCTTTTTCATATCCTTTTCCATTATAGGTTATTACAAGATATTGACTATAGTTCCCTGTGCTTTACAGTAGGTCCTTGTTGTTCATCTATTTTATATATAGTAGTTTGTCCCTGCTGATCCCAAACTCCTAATTTATCCCTCCCCAGCCCTTCTTTGGTAACCATGTTTGTTTTCTATGTCTGTGAGTCTATTTCTTTTTGTAAATAAGTTCATTTGTATCTTTTTTTAGAATCCACATATAAGTGACATCATATGATATTTGTCTTTCTCTGTCTGACTTAGTATGATGATCTCTAGGTCCACCCATGTTGCTGCAAATGGCATTATTTCATTCTTTTTTATGTCCCACTGTGTGTGTGTGTGTGTGTATATATATATGTGGGTGTGTGTGTGTATACACACACACACACACATTTATCCATTCACCTGTTGATGGACATTTAGGTTGCTTCCATGTCTTGGCTGTTGCAAATAGTGCTGCTATGAACATTGTACCCCTGTTCTTTAAATGTGAGTTACCTGAATATACAAAGAAGTAAACTGAGGTCAGGAAGTGAAGTGACTTGTTCAAGGTCATGTGTAGAGCTAGGCTATTTCTGATATTTAGAAACTACACAGTGTCAGCACACTAGGAGGGAACTTAAGATACTTCATGATGTAAAGCTTATTTATAGATAAAAACAGAGACCATCCCCCCAAGAAAGTTATTTTGCCTGAAGCCACGTGGTTAGTGACCAAGCTAAGACAGGGCAACTTGTTCATGGGCTAGCATTTTTTTCTAATGGATTTCCCTGCCTTTTCCTATACCATGCTTGATTTATTTAGAGAG